ACGAGGTCAACACACCAAGTTCGTGTCAGGGCGAATTCAACAATGATCACTGCATACAACCCTATTAAACTATACACGCATTAAAAGCCAATAGATTTACCTACAAAATGAGACACAGATCACAAAAATCGAAGCAGTACTTTGGGTGCTAGCGCCTTCGGAACGTCGAAAAATCATGATTTTTCGATTCCGAGCCAAAATCCCTGCTCAGAATTTGTACCGCAAACTTACCGAATTTATTTTTTATTGCATCGTGTACGCTCACACCGCGCACCAAAACACGCTGATTCGATGGCACCTGTCTCCGTGCTGATCGCCAGTCGTTCCGAGACTCATAAACTTTACAGTCATAATCGGTTTACCTATGTTTATACATCGCGATCGGGCTTGAGCCATACCCTTTCGCCATTGACGACCTTGGCCTTCGCCTACCCCGCACCGAACATAGCCTCCCATCTGATTGGCTATAAATAAAATAAGCTTTGTATTTATTTTTCACCTCACGTCGTCTGCTAATGTGGCGCGAAGCATGAAAACGGCAAATGTCAACATTTCACAATCATGTCAACAATTAATTGGCAAGTAATTATTTTCTTTCAATAATTTCTCATGTTTTCCATGATTATGTATCATGTTTTATGAATATCAATAAATTCCAAGAAGAGCGTACAGCTAAAACATGTTTTTTAAATTGTCTATATCAAATTGTTAAACACAAATTAGAACTGAGTTATATGTTTTTACCCATTGATACAATGTTAACTGTAACATTTAAGAGCTGGTTTTATAACATTATGAATAAAATGGGAGTATGTATTGTAAATTAAATGTAAAATCTGTCAAGAGATAATCTGAAATTTATGAAGACCTTTCAAAGGACCCATAAATATTTACCATATTCTGGTTGCAAAGTCTAAATATTTGATGAGTTGGTATTTCACTTTGGTCAATGATGCTAACAATAAAGATTATAGTGATTCAGTTTTACATTATTGCCGTGGTGAAATTCACTGAGAAATCTTTATGTATGTTTACATGAATGTGGCTGCTGTTGACTGTGCCTGATCTGGTTTGAATTCATTTAAATACATGCAGTCTACACATGATATATGGTGAACTGTATGTGAAATAGTTTAGGCTGTTGTAGGTGAAGAGCCTTTGAGGTATATGTTTGGACCCCTGGTATATTCTTTTCTGGGAAGACAATTTGAAGTTTCAAGAAAAATATATTCAACTCATATGAATGAACAGTAAAAATATTTATTCTACATACATAATCTATGTGATGTAAACATGGGGATCATGGCATCAGTAATACATAAATCATGAAAATGAATAGTATATGAATGTGTTATAAGAGACAAATAGATTTTTTTTTTCACAGCTAACCCAAGACTAAAAATAAAAATTATACATATGGCTTGGTTTAACTACATAGAATATGCACTAGTAATCCTGATATTGAACAATGCAACCCTATTAATAATTATAAGATATACTCTATGAAAGGTTTATAAATTGGCGATTGACTTTCCAAACAGGTTTTCAAAGACATAATGCAGTTTGTATACAACACTACAAGTACTGTTATAAAATAATTTTGATTAGTGTTGGGGTTTTACCGGTTATGAACAAGTGGTATTCACAAGTTATCCAAAACTTATAATTAATGCAGACAATGGTTATACTTTCATGGCAGGTTTATGATAACAAGAAATCCATAGATGTTTATGTGAACCAGCTGGAAGTGATCTTGTCAGAGACCTGCAAATATAAGAAAACTACAGACACATATCTCAAGTCAGATATCTTATCTCTTCTAATTGTGCATAGTAGTGGTGATTCGATTATTTGAAATAATCAAAGATTGGTTGCAGTGACTAATTAACCAAGCAATTGATAATGTTTTTGCATAATCGAACACAGACAATTTGGGAACATTTGTTTGCATTAACAATATTTTTCACAAGGTTGGATTTGTCTGTCATTAAATTTACATTTCATAAACGCTATGAGCTCGTTCCAAGTCATGATTGAATTTATCAAGAAGACTCCCACAAATTAATGTTCCTAACATACTAGTCATCATTTACAGATGTTAAATTTGCCAATGCATTTTGTGCAATGTTAGAAAAACAACCAAAGAACTACATGTTTGTTCTTTATTTTTGAGTGTGTATTAACAACTCTAATAGGATAATTTGAGGACAGGTTGTCACTGCTCTCAGGCTTTTGTTGTACAAGTAACAATGTGTTCAACGAATATCATCCATTTTCACATACAACTGCATAATGCTTTTTTAACTTCTGTTTATTAACTACAAACTCCACATTTGTAGGTACTTCATGCTACGCGTTAATCACTTCCAAAAATAACTATGTTGCCATAGACGTATTAATGCCTATGAATACCTTTGACTTTGTCAAACATGACCATGGATAATAAAATTAAAATAGTGTCTGTAAACTGCAGGGGCCTTGGGGAGAAAAACAAGCATAGAGAAATAATGAACATATGGAGAAAAAAATGTTGCTCAATTATTTGTCTACACGATATTCACGTTGCTGAAAAAGATGAACTACTAATGAGAAACGAATGGGGATTAGAGTGCATTATCGCCCCTTATAGATCTAATGCAAGAGGGGTTGCCATTCTTTTTAATAACAATATTGAAGTCAAAATACATAGAACAATAAAAGATCCTTATGGCAACTTTATTATTGAAGATATCTCAATTGATGGGATAAAATGTACCATTTCAAATATTTACGGCCCAAACAATGATGACCCAACTTTCTATGAGAATATTTTTAGAAATATTGATAGCCTTGAAAATGATTCTTTGGTCTTGTGTGGAGACTGGAACTTCGTACTTGAACTGTCAATAGATTTAGAGAACTATCGGCATGTTAACAACCTAAAGCCATGCAAGTGGTCTTAGATATGATAGAAAATTACGATTTGTTGGATATTTGGAGACAATATAACCAAGGCTCTAAATGTTTTACATGGTGGAAAAAAAATCCTAGACAGCAGGCTAGGTTGGATTTCTTTTTACTATCTCAAGATAGTATTAATTTAATACATCCTTATTACACAATAAAGACTATGGGTGCCCATGTATTGTCTTACAGACTTTGTAAAATTGATATTCCCTACTGGCAGGATTTGATATATATTTGGAGTAAATACTATAGGTCTCATTTGACAGATGCAAGAGATAATCAGGCTATTCTAGCTGAACCCGATATGGTTAAACCACCAGTGTACAGACTCAAATTTTATTATAGAAAACTGGTTCGGTAAAGGAGTGCATTATATAAGAGACCTATGTGATGAGAATGGGCTCCTACCCTTTGTAGACTTGAAAAAAAAATTCAACCTCAAGGGTACTTATCTGGACCACCATCGAGTTGTTAGTAATCTCCCTAAAGAATGGATAAAGGTGATAGACAATTCTAAACCCATATGTGTCTACGATCTTATGATGAATAACTTTCTAATGGAATGGATTAAACCAGCAAAGGGATCCCGGAAGATATTTGATATACTTGTGCAAAATAACTATCTCCCTATTATTTTTAGTAAATGGCAACAAATGTTCTTAACTGACTAAAACTGGAAGGAAATATTTAGTCTTCCTAAACAATGTTGTAGAGATATCAAGCTACAAAATTTCCAATATAGATTTTTGCATCGCATTATATACACCAAAAAGGAATTATTTAAGATGAAGCTGATCGACAATAGTACTTGTCAAGGATGTAACAATGAAAACGAATCGATTGTGCACGTATATTTTGAATGTCCACAGGTTAGTCATTTCTGGTACAATCTGGAACAATTTTTGAGACAACACCTGTGTCATGAGATTCAGCTTAATCTTAAATCCATCCTCTGTGGTATCCAGGGGACCGCAAACTTCAAACTGGTGAACCACATTCTTTTGGCCGGAAAAAGATATATATACATAAGTTGTATTAGAAAAGAATCTCTATCTTTCAAATCTTTTACTGCTATCTTGAAAGATATTTTTCAAGTTGAGAGATATGTTGCTAGAATATAAAACCAACTAAATGAATGTAGGAGTAAATGGCTACCACTACTCACAATATGGACCGATGTGTCATGACTCTTCAACAAGCTTAAAGTAGAATTTTGAGATCGCGAATTACAATATGTGCCAATCCGCGGATGGGAAAAGATATACATATTTAATGCATAAGCTGTATTAAAAATGTAATATTGATCCTAAAATCCTCCATCGCTTCTTTGAAAGATATGTTGCCAAAATGAAAAACCAGCCAGACGAATGTGGAGTAAACGGGCGCCCATTACACAACATGGTCTGATGTGTTATGACTCCTCAATGTATAAAACTTATGATCTTTGTGCAGTAACACTTGAATGCATCTACTCATGCTTGAAGACTGATGTGTTATTAACTGTCAACATGTATAAGCTTGTATTAGACTTGACATCTGTATAACAACGTACCTACTGATGTGAATAAAAAATGTGGAAAAAAAAGGAGGATAATTTGATAAACGACGCTGACCAATTATTTTCAATGATTGATCAGTTGTACGGAACCAATCATCAATTATGAGATTTTAACCATATCAACACTAGTGTACAGTTGAGACGTACTGTCATGAGTGCATCATGGTTGTCTGCTGTAATATTGTCTACATGTGAATATGCACAATGTGCACCATTTCCTTAAATTGAGCACTAAGATAGTAACCGCTTATTACATTCAGCTACTAAAGATGCTTATACCTGTATTTTATTTCGTTTTAGGATCAATACCTCTGCTGTTTGCAGTATAATTATTCACTACATTGGGGACAGAACCACTCATCCGGTAAACAATCTAGGTCATGCACTTTCAGACAATTTCCATGAAACCATCTCTCGCAAAGGTCACAGGCAACACAGTCAACATAACATTCTGCATCACATATCCCACATGGGTTTTCAACAGAGAGTGCCGATGTCAAGGCTTTGCCTTTGCCTCTGCCACTGCCTCTGCCTCTGCCTCTGCCTCTGCCACTGCCTCTGCCTCTGCCTCTGCCTCTGCCTCTGCCTCTGCCTCTGCCATGACTCTCTACACATCCTTCCAATGGCTCTTTGGTTTGTGAACTCTCCCTTGTATCTTTTCCTTTTGTAATTTTAATGTCTTTCCTGTGTGCCTCTTTCTTCTTATTTTCCCAAGACTCCAAGATGTCTCTAACAAATTGTTTGGACATGATTCTGGTGAAAATCTCAATAAAGTTATTGTAGGTTTCTGTGACACCTGTGGCAAAATCTACAACACTGTTAAGACAATCTAGTACAGGAACCCTTGTAACAGTCTCTGTTGAGTGTGCCTTCATTTTAAACACATTCATCCACTTCTCAAACAGTTCTGCTTTTCCTTTGAGAGACTCCACCACAAACCAATGCAAATTTCTACCATACTCATGCAGATTTTTTTCTGTTTGCAAATGTATGCATATCTTACTGACTTGCATGGCAAACTCAAAGCCAGAATCACTAATATTTATGAGACCTTCTCTGATATTCTGTTTTCTTCTTATTTCTTTTAAACTGGCTGGGTCACTTGTCTCAGACACAATCTGTCTCTGATTCCTCAAAGCCATTTCTATCATTTGTTTTTTCTTATACTCATTCTTTACAATCTCCAGTGAACCTGCCTTAGCCTTGAATATGTTGTTGGTAACATTACTGGCACATTTCTGATGAAGTTTTCTGAAGCAATATCCAGCTACATAACGTATTTTGCCTCTTGTTGCGTCATTAATGTCCACACAACTTCTAGGATTGACATCTTCCTCAGCAAGGTGCTTCGCATCTTCACTCTTATACTTGAGGAATCGCTCTCTCAAACTCAGAAACATTTTGTAGCATATGTGATACTCAACATCACCCTGGGATCCAAACAAATTCACCACAGCAACTTTGTATTTTGATGTTGTCAGATAGTCATGGCAGATTTTGTAGAACTTGTTAATAGTTTCACTTTTGCAATTAACATCAACAGTTTGTGCATAGGCTTTGGAGATGAAATTTTCCACAAGTGAACAGTAGTGAGCAACTCTTTCTGGATTTTTTTCTCCCAAACTAATTTGAACATTCACCTCCTTCTGAAAGTCTGTGATGTCATATTTGGAGCGAACAGATCTGAGAATTGACAATGCATCATGTACTTCATAGGTGCTCTCAACTGTATCAAGTTCTTCCTCACTGTCATCCTCTGGGATTTTGCTAATGCAGTCTTCATAGGCTTTTATCAAGTTGAAATCATCAGCAATATCGAACACATCGATGGTTCTATCTGCCACTGGGGACATGAAATCCTCTCCAGATGTGCTGCAATATTAATGGTATCGATGCAGAATTTGTTTGGTAAAATGTCACTCATAAAAGTTTATGAACTAAGGAAATGATCATTATTCCACTTTTTACCAAAAATCATCATTCATTTCAAATGTGTGATGACATCAATAGTTTTTACTTAGGAAAATAAGTTTACTCTACCCCAATGTATAGTGTAATAAAGTACACTTTTGCCCTGAACTTTTACATTTAAAGTACGAGGATGCGACATGAAGTAATTTTGGCACCTTTGATATTTAAATGAAGCATCTTATAAATACTATTACTACACATGTTATAGTGTGACTAGTATTACCACCCATTCCTTTTTTTAATGATACCACATGTAACTATGGATCCAGTATTCAAAATAATTGACCCTGATTTTTTTTAAGTACAGTTCAGAAGATAATCATGCCATCTCTCTCACGACATTTGACACATTAACATTTCATGAACAATAAAATCACCTTTCATATGAAAGTTGGCAGCAAGCGTTGTTGTCCAGGATTGGCACAGATTCCCTTTCATAAAATTCAAAAGGATGTCATGTTGGGGATAACAGCACATACATCAAACTTAGTGACCCTAAGTCCATCAATCCTTCGTGCACGACCTAATGCAACTCCAAGCTGACCAGGTCGAAACATATTATCACAGTCAATCTCCAATCTGCAATTAAAAGATAACATACCAACAAAGGAAACAAACCAACAACATTATCACCAAGGACAAAATAGTATTTGTTTATAGTTGTTGTTTATAAAGTACTGAACAAGATGGAAGTCAAATTTACTTTCTAAAAATGATTTCAACCAATCTTCAGAAAAGAATGGACTATGGTCGTTTTTGACATTAATATATATAAAAGGATAACATAGAAGTAGCTTAAATAACTTGAAACAAATTCCGAAATTAATCTGATACTTATAGCGATACTTAATTAGACATTAGACATTTTACTATCATCAAGAAATATTTGTAACACACGACAAAATGAATGTAAACTTTCTCCATGGCCTGGTCACTTTATAAACAAGGCGAAATCATTCTCACAAAGAGAACATCATTAACAGTAGTAAATCTTGATACTGACTTTTACTTATGATTGTAAAAGTGGCGACTGACCTGTCAATTGTCATTCCTTGACATTTGTGCACTGTGAGGGCATAGCACAGTTTTAGTGGAAACTGTAATCTTCTGGCAACATCTGACTTGAGCCTTGGGTCATAAACTGAAATCATACAAAGTTAATATATTATATATGATATATAGTTCATGCTGCAAGGACTGAATGTTGTTGATATTATTATTTGACCGGACAAACAGAATACAAAACACATGTATTCTCTATTAAATACAACAATATCAAATAATCCTTGTCATCGTCTATGCTCATTGATACTGGATATATATAACCAGATTTTTTGAAATATGAAATGCAATAAGGCATGTTGATTCACTGTTTGAACAGTTTGAAGAAACAAATCCATTGATAAATCAAAGAATTGTGTTCTTCATGATACAAACAAGTTAGGTTATTAAATGTACTGTATTGCATTTAACAGGCTTTTGGGGAGACTAGAATTTCAACCTGATGGTGAAATTGCAGTTGATCATCTGCATGAACAGTACAGGTTGGAAATACAAGAAATAGGACACACACCCTGTTAAGCCAAATATTTTTCAAGACTACTGAAATCAATTTTCCCAGTTGTCAAACTTCACCGACCAAGAGATAAAGGACTACAGATCAGTATTTATCATGGAATACATTTAAGGCCTTATCCTTCACTTGAGAAATGTGATTTTGATACAGATGTCATCATCAAAACATACCTCCCAATACAGAATCATCGAGGTGAATAATGATAGTGTGCATTTAGGACTTGACACTGGTTTACGTGCCAATGGAAATGTTGTTCAGAAAGAACTTGTCTTCAATGAAAATGACTGGCATCTGATAGTGTCTGGCTCTAAGATCGCAAAGAAGGAACTACAATGCCTATACATTGACACAACATTTCAATGCACCCCGCTCAATGTGATGACAGTGTGTCAAATTGTGGAGAAGATTCCCCTTTGTTTAGGTGTCATCAAGGACAAAAGACATTGTACAGGAAACCAAATAAATGTGAATTGGTCAAAACATGGAGATATAAAGTTTAGCATGAAGTGTCTGAGGTCACCCTCATGTAACTATGTTGTCACATTCATCGGAACAACCAACTGTTGTCGTGTGTGTAGGCACATATCATTCAGGCAGCAAAAGCATGAGAATCAAATGAACAAGGGTGAAGAGTCTAAAGTTGCTGGAAGTAGAGAACTCTTAAGGAATTTAATTCCTAATGCATCTGACAACATGCTTGACGTTTTCTGCAGTCAGATTCATAATTCATCCAACAAAGATCCTCGCAATAACCGTTGGCCCAAATCTGTTCTGCAAACCTGCTTGACCTTATGGACACGGAGCCCATGCAGCTACAGTGACTTAAGGAGTAGTGGACTGCTATTACTGCCATCAGAATCACTCCTTGTTCTGTATAAAAACTCAGTCGAACAACGGTCAGGGTTTTGCGATGAAGTGTTTCTCTGGATGCACAATGAAGCAGAGAGGTTGAAGCTGCATGAGTCTGGAAGAACTGGAGGGATTCTGATTGATGAGATGTCAATACAGTCAGACATTCATATGGTAAGAAGTGCCTCAGGCATAGAGTTTGTTGGCTTTGTTGAAAATCTTCCAGAGTCCGAACACATGAAAACAATCCAGAGTGGAACAAAGAAGCAGCAGTTGGCAACCCATGTATTTCAGATGCTTTTCTTGGGAATGAGCGGTTTTCGATTCCCATTTGCTCACTTTCCGGTGAAGACAGCCAGTGCCTCGGACATTCACTGCATGGTTCATGAAGCCATTGACAACCTCGCCACATGGAATTTTAGAGTGCTCTTTGTAAGCATGGATGGAGCCGGTGCAAACCGTGCCTTTATGAGAATGAATGTTGACATCGACCGACTGTCACTCACGGCAAGGTCAGAATCCAATCCTCTTAGGAAGTTACATTTTATTATGGACATTTCTCACTGTCTCAAGAAAATCCGAACAGCATTCTGAAAAGTGCAAAAAGCGGTAAGGTCGCTGCTTAGAATTGCCATCTGGTTTCCAAATCTTTTGGCAGTTTTGGGTGGATGCATACAAATGGGACAAGTGCAACATACTGCAGTTTCACAGGAAGATGACCGCAGATCACATATACCCTGATCAATCGCAGAAGATGCGCAATCATCTTGCAGAAGAAGTTCTTGACAAGGATATGTTAGAACTCTTCCTCCACTACAAAGCTTCCTTAGGCTCAAGAGGAGAAATGCTGAATGGAGCCATTGAGTTATTAACTCAAACAAGCATTTTGGTCGCCAATTTCAGAGACCACCGGACAATAACTCATACCGGAGACAAGAGGCTCTATGAAAACAGACAAGTGTTCCAGTGGTTCAAACACTGGGAAGATCATCTGACAGGCACACCAGCAGAAAAGAGGAAGGCACTGATGTCACCCCAATGCAGAGAAGACCTGACAGCCTGTATTCTTGGCTTTGACAGTATGGTGAAAGAGTATCTTCTTGAGCATCATGGGAGCGGGGTGAAGCCATCATGCATCAACAGTGATCCCATTGAGAATCATTTCTGTCAACAGAGAGGTTTGCATAATGGAAATGCCACCAACCCAAATTATGCCACCTATCAGAAAACTAACAACAGTATCATTCTGGGACAAGAACTTATCTCCAAAAAAGTAATTGTCATCATAAGAGAACATCAGCAGATTCGTTCTCTTCTGGAGTCAAAGGCCCATTGCGACAAAGCAAACAACAGAAACTGCAGAAAATAAACCCACTATCAGATTTAACTAATCACGCATTAAGTTTACCAATGACAACAACTTTTAAAGAAGGCAAACTGACTTGACACATGTACAGTGGATTCCTTATTATCAAGCAAAGCCACAGATGGAACAAGCCTGACATGAGACCTAGTAGCATGGAATATTATCATATTCTTACCTCCAAATGTATATTTCTCTATCTTAGATGAGCTCCTTGGAAAATCAACATAAATGCAATCCTGAGAGATTTCAGTGACAACACCAATGCTTCCATTGACAAGATTGTCTGACAGGTTCCTCAGCAGCATAACCTGGCATCCTACTTTCAGCCACAGACACTTTGGCTACCACAATCCTATCCAAGTGTTTTTTCTCACCCCAGTCTTCGCTGTAGAATATTTTCAGTTCTCCTGAAGAAAGAAATTTACAAAGGGTTAAAATGCAAACATAACAACAGATTGTACATGTATTTTGGATTTTTAACTCTCATCAGATGAAACAAGCAGCTTCAAAAACTTTAACCATCTGTGTCAGAATCAGTGACTGTGGTCAGCCAGTGCCAGGAACCTAGGGGTACCATTCGTGAGCAACATGTCCATGGAACAGCATGTTAACCAACTCTGAAATGCCTGTTACTTTGAAATTCGTAACATAAGCAAGGTCTGACATCTACTAGACACTACAACTAAACTCATGATGCAAACTCTCGTCACTTCACGTCTTGACTACTTCAACGCTCTGTTTCAACATCTCACGCTCACTCGAGTCAAAACTACAGTGAATTCGAAATGCAGCACCACCAGTATCAAGAACGAAACTCTGACCATATCTGCCCAGTTCTCCAATCTCTCCACTGGTTTTCCATCATACAACGCATCAGATTCAACATTATCCTCCTCGCCCATAACCATGATAACTGCAGCTATAATTCCTGATCTTATCTCAATGACCTTGTATTTCTCCACAAACCCAGTCAATCTCCTCATTCCAGTGACCTCTTCACTCTCTCCACTCCACTCAGCGAAACAAGAATAGGTGATAGAGCGTTCTCCATCGCAGCTCCCCATCTTTGGAACTGTCTTCCACAATCAATTATAATCAAAATGGAACATGCCTAGTTCTTTGGAACCTTACCTTGTAGGTCCATTAGTGTCCTCTGATTGTGCATATCTACTTGCTGGTTGGTGGAAAAGACTCTCACAACATGCTCTGGACCTTCCAGTGGCTGAGACAGACTTTCTAGAAAGTCAACAGTGTCCTGTGAAACTATCCCACGACTTGTTTCCCTCACAGCAGTTATCAGCTGGATTTCACTCTGTCTGACAACTTTATCAAGAATGATATGATGTGGAAAAGCATTGTTCCATAAAGGTCCACTGCAAAAGGTAAAAATGGCATTTTAAAGTGTAAATGTAACCACATGTGCTAAAAAGAATTTGTGAAACTTACAAACATATGCCTTGGCTAGCTGTTATCACAGTACAAGTAATCTTGCCTGCATAGGTAGGTTAATAAACCCAGTTTTGTGAATATTACTCATTATGCCTCACTGCAACCAGCATGAACATGATGATTACTCTTAAATACCTGAATGCAAAGTCGCCTCTGTCACCATACAGTGTATTTGGCACAGGTTGGAGCTGGAAGAAATCCCCGCATACAATCACCTGCAGTCCCCCAAACATCTGTTGGCTCTTCCTAGCCATTCGGCAAACTGCTTCTACTTCACACAGCATCTTGTAGCTGAAACACCAAAATAATACCTGGTAAGGAAAATACATTAACCTGTGGGACCTGCTTTACAACACTGTGATCGTATTGATAAATAACTTCAATTGTACAAGCAAGTGAAGTGCCTTTTTATGTCTTTTCCCCATGAAAATAGATTTTGGGGTAAAAGTATTGAATTTGAGGGACAAAAGGGTTGTATTTATAAGTTTCATTAAAGTCAGTCACAGAAAAAGGTGTGAGTAAACAAGCATCATGAGCATGCAAAGTAAAAATTCATACCTTAAGTAATTACATTAATACATGACAATGTGTGTAAATGTGTGAACTGCTATGATCATATTGATAATTATGTAATTTAATTTTAATTAAGCAAGCACATGAAGTGCATTTTTTCCATGAAAATAAACTTTGGGGGTAAATGTAATGCATTTGAGGAACAAAATGATTGTATTTATAAGTTTATGCAAAGTCATAATTCATACCTTAACATGGATATCTCATCAATTATTAAAACATCTGTGTGGCATAGCCTGTCTCGGGTCCTCTCTTCTCGGTCAAGAACTTGCTGCAATTCTTGAATTGAATAGCGGCCGTCTTTAATACCACAAAAACGATGAATGGTTATAGCATTCTGCAAGAAAAGGTGTATGGCTTCCTTTAACTACATGATTTGTATTCATTGAAATGTGTACATGACAACATATTTGTCTCAAATAAGACAGCACTTGGGGCCCTGCACACTCGACAATTGTTCAAAAGTATAGATCTTGCTATAACTAAACATTTTACTGCCAGACAAAGTTATAAATATATGGCACTAGAATGGATCAAATGTGCTAGCACTTACGGAATAATTGGCACAAGCAACTCCGGTTGTGCACGTCACGACGACTTGCAGACCGTTTCGTTTCAGTTCATCCTTGATGTGGTTGAGAAGAAATGTCTTTCCGACACCCGCTTGACCAAGTATCGCCAAATTATGTCGCGATAAAGCGACTTCGAGGGCTGCTTTCTGCTTGTCAGTCAGTGTCATGTTGACATTGTCGTCTGACCATGCTTGTTTACGCTCTTCAGTTACCTCCCTTGTTTGGCCAATCAGATGGGAGGCTATGTTCGGTGCGGGGTAGGCGAAGGCCAAGGTCGTCAATGGCGAAAGGGTATGGCTCAAGCCCGATCGCGATGTATAAACATAGGTAAACCGATTATGACTGTAAAGTTTATGAGTCTCGGAACAACTGGCGATCAGCACGGAGACAGGTGCCATCGAATCAGCGTGTTTTGGTGCGCGGTGTGAGCGTACACGATGCAATAAAAAATAAATTCGGTAAGTTTGCGGTACAAATTCTGAGCAGGGATTTTGGCTCGGAATCGAAAAATCATGATTTTTCGACGTTCCGAAGGCGCTAGCACCCAAAGTACTGCTTCGATTTTTGTGATCTGTGTCTCATTTTGTAGGTAAATCTATTGGCTTTTAATGCGTGTATAGTTTAATAGGGTTGTATGCAGTGATCATTGTTGAATTCGCCCTGACACGAACTTGGTGTGTTGACCTCGTTACATCCCTTTCCTTTTATATAGTACTAAGACCCCGTAAGTGATAGTATATGCCTTGATGGCAGTTTTTAGCGTTACAAGCCCCTGTGTGTACTACGACAATGTGGGTATGTGGATCACTCTCTTCCAGCCACGGCAACACAACAGTCTTAACTAGTAAATAATTTCACAAGTCATAAAAGTTACCAACATTAAAATGTATTATATACAATAGTAAACTTCTAACAATCACGCCGCCCAAAGCGTTACTCTACAAGTTATAAGGTACGGTACAATTATATATAGTTACAATAGTAGAAAGAATTTACATGCGCTTCATTGAGTAGAGTGCCTCCGGCAAGCCGGGTGTAAACATACAGGTTATTCATGGTTTTCTTCCCTGCGATGGCGATGCAATCATCCAACTCTCAGTGATTCGTCTATCTCTTTCAACCGTTACGCGAAGAATCCCTCGTCTCCGTTATTTCTATTGTGACGTAAAATCCTAGATACGAAACCTTCTAAAACACCTCTCTTGACGTCACAACATGGCGGCGCCCATGTCGAGACGTAGCTTACCTGAGGCAGCACAAGTCAACACCAAAGTCGCTACATAAATTACGCCACATCAGGTAGACTGATGGAACGAGGTGAAGAGACGGCTTAGATCTGTTTTACATACTAATTCCAACGGTATGAGCTCTCGTAATCTTAAGATCACGGTAAACTATATGTTGCAGTGCACTGGCACGGAACAACACTACATGGACAGTGTAACTGATACCCCGGGAATAGTATACGCAAAATACGTCATAAATAGTAGAGGTATTTATATAGGGTAATTATTATCGATTACCCTATACATTACAATATCCCCTCTTTTATTTTTAAATCGTCTCGATTTACTGACATAAGATGTAAAGTATTTGAGAAGAGGATATACATATACAACGGTATGGTAATTATGATATATACAGTACATTCATACAGATAATAATACTGGCATAATGTGGAATTCATATAGCATATTATCACGAAAACTTACCTACTTACCATTCCCAAGAATTATACACACCCAGGTCCACCCAGTTCAGCGGAAATCCAGAGAGATCCACAGATAGTTCCAGAGAGATCCACAGATAGTCGACGGGGTGGCTGGAGAGGTATGTACTACGACAATGTGGGTATGTGGATCACTCTCTTCCAGCCACGGCAACACAACAGTTTTAACTAGTAAATAATTTCACAAGTCATAAAAGTTACCAACAGCAAAATTTATTACATACAATAGCAAACTTCTAACAGGGTGGCTGAAGAGGTATGTACTACGACAATGTGGGTATGTGGATCACTCTCTTCCAGCCACGGCAACACAACAGTTTTAACTAGTAAATAATTTCACAAGTCATAAAAGTTACCAACAGTAAAATTTATTATATACAATAGCAAACTTCTAACAGTAAAGACAATATGCAATCACGCCACCTAAAGCGTTACTCTACAAGTTATAAGGTACAGTACAATTATATATAGTTACAAGTCAACACCAAAGTCGCTACATAAATTACGCCACATCAGGTAGACTGATGGAACGAGGTTAAGAGAAGGCTTGGATCTGTTTTACATACTAATTCCAACGGTATGAGCTCTCGTAATCTTAAGATCACGGCAAACTATATGTTGCAAGGCACTGGCACGGAACAACACTAAATGGACAGTGTAACTGATACCCCGGGAATTAGTATACGCAAAATACGTCATAAATAGTAAAGATATTTATATAGGGTAATTATTATCGATTACCCTATACATTACACCACCATTTCTCTTCTCAACCTGCACCATACGTGGGTTTAGTTAAGAGGGTGGGGTCAGGGACAGTGTCGTGATGAGACGTCCAAAGAGGAAGATCAGTTCCCAGGAAACTGTCTGCCCTTGTGGCATGGTGGGCACAATAGCTATCCGTGTGCCACTAATGTCTACCCTAAATGTTTCCAAGATGGCCAAGACAAGCTCCACTTCTATACTGTTACTTTTTCGATCCTTCCTGTTACCATTCATTCCATCCTGTTACACTTCATTAAGTAGTGTAAAGTAAATTAACAACTGGTAAAATCAATATTGTGTTTCATTAACATCATTCACCAAGAAGCACTAAACATGTTAAGGATAATTTTATCCAAAGTTTGTTTTCTTCAGAAAAAGTAAGTAAAATCAAAAGTAATACAAATAGAGACTGATAAACTGAGTAGGTATTGATCAACACAAAATAATATTGAAAGTCCTTGATGCAAAATATTTGTTTGCTAAACGAAAAGAACTAGTGCTGAATAACACAATGAGAGTGAAATAAATTACAAAATATATAAATTGAGGTTTTTTTCTTGCGATGATATTATTGGTAACAGGAAGGAACTATCTTGCTCCATAAGTACATAAATGTTTATTTTTTTGGTATTTGCTGATGTCATTAAGCTTGCATATTTCTGTTTTGCTCTCTAGAGTATATTTCTACTGTATTGAAAGCAATAAAATAATCATTCTGACAAACAAGGATTTCCTGTTTTGATGCCTTGAAATTTTGACCTTTTTTGAAATCGACCGTTATACATTTGAACGTGTCACAAAAGAGATCAGGGATTACAGGAAGACAACCAAACCAAATGTGACGATGTCCATATTCAGGCCTTACTTTAGAAAGGAGGGATCCATTTCGACCTCAGAGACAAAACAAATATACGCATATGTTGTCAAGCGGTTCCAAAGTACCCGAAAACTGTATGTGGCGATATTTTAAGACACTTGGAACACTGCAATACCGCCTGGTTTAAGAGCAATTGATCCGTGGTTGTCTACCCCAACACTACCCACGACGACGTGCCATGGGCTATTTGTACATGATACCGATGTCACAAGGCCCATTTCTGGCGTCCCCGCCGTGATATTGCTAGAATATTGCTAAAAGCGGCGTAAATCACAACTCACACACCGATGTCACAAGACTAGATGACCAGACTGACTGATGTACATTGGCGGTGACCTTAGGCTGGAAATACAGGGATACAAACACACACACACACACACACACACACACACACACACACACGTTGTCAAGTTAAAGGTGTACCTTTTGGCATCTTGTGTATTTGCCTATTTGGACCACACTTTGCAAAGTCTACGACTCCACGTAATGACCCATGGTAGCTTACCCATCTATTGCTAAGATACATATATGGTGGTAACTTAAGGACGTGACTAACAGGTTGCTGTATTTACTTCCCACATACAGATTCATTTCATTTTGTTGATCGTTCGTTCAGTGAGCATGGAAGTTTGATACTGGTATACGTTCAGATGGGTATTAACTAAACTGGAAGTCTTTTGTAAAGCCAAATCACAAATTCCTTGTGGAGTGAGATCGCATTAAAGTGTGTAATATGTGTATATATTCTGTGAGCGTCTTGTCGATAAGATCGGGTACCCAAGTTTTAATTTGCAGAATCTACAGCTGTGTTGAACGATGTACGTGAAATAAAAAAATCAACACACATATCTCTAGTACTGAGAGGGATCCTGGAAAATAGGAATACACGTCACCAAAACAAACCGACCCTGAGACTGTCTGTACCCGTGAAGATCTGGCTTAGAACCTCAGCAACATATGCTTGGTGTAAAAGGCGACTAACGGGACTGTCTGTACCCGTGAAGATCTGGCTTAGAACCTCAGCAGCACATATGCATGATTATTAATAGGCGACTAGGCGACTAACGGGACTGTCTGTACCCGTGAAGATCTGGCTTAGAACCATTGTTTTTTCCATCACAAGGGATAAATATTTTAGTGTCAAAACAATTAAGGACCTTTTTAATAATGTAAATTATCATTTAATAATTGCATTTTTTAATTTTGTAAAATAAAATAGAATTATTGGATAAATAATTATAGTGAACAATTTGTTTTGTTAATAGATAAATGTTATTTTTATAATGGTAGTATAAATTATCAACGGCGATTGTTAGTGGCAGTATCCTCGAAGGGGGTTAAAGCATCGTAAAATTATTGTCCTCCTGAGAGGGTACTTAAGTCCCCAAAACTTTCAAAGTCAATTTCGCTCAACCATACTTTTTGATCATACTTTTTATGTTATTTTGAAGTTCGGCAAAATCTTTCATCATCGCCAGCGGCTGAAGGGATGGTGCAAATCCAGCATAGGGTCCGTGCAGGTAGTAAAGGCACTGTAAGTCCCCATGGTCCCTAGTGTGGTGACATACCTTCAGTTGTTGGCGATCTGTAGCCCACGTTTTATATTGTATTGTCTTCTTTAGTTAAAATGTTTAAAATGTTTTAGATTTACATGCTAGTTTTATATTCATATCTGAGATACTCTAGTGTTTCTACTGTCCATCGTTGACAGGTTTTACTCTTCAAAATATTTTCATGGTTTATTGTATGAATTGTTTTCGTCACGATATTGCCGGTGTGACGTTAAATATTAACTCACTCACTCAGTCACTGGATTGTCTGATCCAGTCTCGATTATTTGCAGGCTGCCGTCATATAGTTGGAATATTGCTGAATACGGCGTTAAACAAACAAAACTGTCGTTGTGTTGTAGTGAATGAAGTGACCTTAAAATGTTTACACATTATTCTTTATGTTAAAGTTCTGTGTACGTTGGAGTTTGTTGTGTGTGGGCCATATATATATAAGCATCTGATTTAGTAAAGGACTCCACATGTCTACCATTAGACTTACACAACTTTAGAAACAGATTTTGAAACACATATCATTTAGAATATTGCATGTGAAATATGATGTATCAGTCATCAAATAA